CTTAGCTCTCAAACTGACATGTCCGCTCTTAAACACTTTAAACAAATTTTGTGCAGCAGATTTGCCTAATGCAATATGTCATTTGATTTCTTGACTTTTGCTTCCATGAGTGTTGATGGTTGATCCAAGCAAAATGAAGTCTTTGACAACTTCAATCTTTTCTCCATTTATATAGATGTTGTGTATTGGTCCAGTGGTGAGGATTTTTGTTTTCTTTACATTGAGATACAACCCATACCAAAGGCTGTGGTCTATGATCTTCATCAGTAAATGTTTTAAGTTCTCTGTGTAAGCAATACCACATGATTGGAAACATTATTGTAATTGGGCAATAAGGGCAGCTCTATCTGGAGTGCCTTGTTATTGTTGTTGTTTTTAGGTGCCAACTGACTCATCTGGATCCTGTGTAAGGTTTTTGAGGCTCTAAATCATTATGGAAGCAAGGATTCTCATTTTTCTTCCACTGTGAGGCTGATGGATTTAAACTGTCAGCTTTGTGGTTAGCAGTCTAGTGCTTATTCTTCAACACCATCAGTATTCCTTTGGAGTATGTTATTGTGTGCTGTGTAGTCGGTTCTGACTCATAGCAACCCTGTATAGAGTTTCCAACACTATACATTTCTACAGGAGCGGTAAGCCCCATCTTTCTCCCTCAAAACTGCTGACAGATTCAAACCACCAACCCTTCCTTTAACAACATAACCTACTATGACACCAGGGCGCCCTTGGAATGTGTTGTTGTTTTTGTCAAGTAGGTTCCAACTCACAGCGACCATGTATAGGGTTTCTGAGGAGCTGATGTTGGGTTTGAATCACTGACCTTGTGGTTAGCAGTCCAGGAATTTCAAAAAAGTAAATTAGCATAGAATTTTAGACTTGTGGACATATTGATACATTATGCTGGACTGAGAAAAGTCTTTTTGTTTTTATAACTCACTGCAGAGATATTAAAGGATAATAAAGTTCTGCTGAAACACTACACAACTGTTTATAGACCACCATTTTGATGTCACCCCTCCTGACAGCCTTACCAAGTGTGGTCCACAGCCCTCCTTCCTCGTGTGACATCACTGGCAATGGAAACCATAATACAAAATAAAACAAAGAGGAAAAAAGTCCAAGAAAACTTCAAAACAAAGCAAATAAAGGACAATCTGCAATCTGTGGAACAATATGCAGATAATGTAATGTATGTCTCAGAGATTCGGCCCCTAAGTATTTTCCCAAAAGAAATGAGAGCATATATCCAGACTTTTAATGAACGTTTACAGCATTATTTGTAATTGCCCAAACTAGGACCAACCCAAATTCCATGAACAAGTGAATGGATTGAAAAAACAAAACAAAAACCCAGCAATAAAAAGGAACAAACTATTAATGCATGAAACTACATGGCAGACCCAAAATAATAGTACAGAGTGAAAGAAGGCAGGCAAAAGAATACATACTGTGGGATTATAACTATAGACAATTCTAGAAAATGAGAACTAGTTGATAGTGACAGGAAGTAGATAAATGGTTGCCTAGAGGAAGGGGCTAGAGAGAGGTTGGAGGGAAGAATGACAAGAGAGCATGGAGGAAACATTTGGATGTGATGTTCACATTCATTGTGCTGATTATGATGATGGCTCTACACACACACCCCACACAAAAACACAAATCCATTGCTGTTAATTCTGATTCTGCTGGTAAACACAGGTATATAGGTGTGTGTGTTTCATATATGCCAACATTTATCAAATTGAATATTTTAAACATTTGTAGCTTATTGTATCTCAGTTGCATCTCAAGGAAACTGAATAAATAAATAAACGCAAGCTTAACTTTAAAACAAAGTAGAAAAATGATTCTGAAATTTGTTTGGTGGGGAGACTGGTCTTACTCTGTTTCTTTAATAAGGAAAACCTAAGCAAAGTTTTAAGTGGAAGGAAGGTATTAAAAAATTCCAGAAAAGAGAAAAGGCAATTACCTTTTATTCTTTTATTCTAGGAGCAATGTCCTAGAGGGTAAGGAGAACATTCAGAACCCAAAGAGAAGGGACACATTTTGGACTGGAGAGAAAGGGATGAAGATGTTTGTACATATTTGTACATGTAGTGCACATCCTATTTTGTTTATTTTTTAACTCAGTTCTGCACCCTAAGAACACATTCTTATTCTTGGTTGTCAGTGACATGAACTTCAGCTAAGCAGCCAGTTTCCCTAATGCTCCCCACACATATCCTTTGAAGTAATTTCTCCCAAAGCCAATGATTCCTTCTATGGAGGTGTCAAATGATATGGATTTGGAATAGGCTAAACACTGGATCATTTTATTGGAAACCTTTGATCAAGAAAAGGTTCCTCTCACTTAAGTTTTGCTCTTTTACCAAAGGCTTTTTCAGATAAGCATGGTCTGACCAAAAAGTTTTTGGAAAAATGGAATGAAAAGATAATGGAAGTTTTCTACGAACTTTTAAAGTTCCCTTGTATGTGTGTGCTCAGGCCGGGTATTTGTGTAACATGGAGAGAGGTGCAGTCACCTAAGTGGAAGGGATGTGGAGCTTCAAAATTCAATTATTTGTTGAATTTTTTAAATTAGGTTTGCTTGCTACATAATAATTTCTATTTAATTCAATGCTTCAAAATAGTACAACAACAAAATGTCAGTTTAACAGAAATACTTGTCATTTTGGTGTTACAAAAGCTTCTACTAAAAAAACACTTTGATTTTCTAAAGAGCCATTTTAATCTAATGTCTGGGAGTATTTATTCAGGGAACTTTGAAACAACAGTCCACTATATCCTGATCTTTCAAGAATAGTTTATGATCTATTTTTCATACACAGTCAACAGGTTAAAGACAATGTGCAAATTACTTTTAATCTTTTTTTTTTTTTAAACAAACAAACTTATTTTCATTTCATTTCGTACACACATTCTCAATTAACCTTAAATGAACGTAATGAGGGCTCTAAAGGAGCTCATCTGCTAACTGAAACATCTGGAGACCAGTTCGAATCCACCAGCTCCTCTGTAGGATTCACAGCCTTTGGAAACCCTACGGAGCAGTTCCACTCAGTACTACCACAGGGCAGTTGTGAGTTGTAATCCACTCAACAGCAGTGGCCTTTGTTTTGGGTTTTAATATTACACAAAGGGGCCAGTAGATAAAGGAGAAACTGTGGTTCTGTAACTACCCTTGCTACTTTGGGCCAAAATTTTCCGTTTGATCATGCTTTAAAGGGTCTCTAGACGCTTCAGCAAATAGTGGAAGTGGGTTTCTCATTTCCGGGCCTGGGGAGTTTTAGTCTCTTTACTCTCTTTCTGGTCCGGACCGAGCTGGGTTCCCAGCATTTGGGGGGTCTTTGGGAAGGGCTAACCATGGGGTAAAAACAAGCTGGGAAATCGGGACACAGCTAGATAGTCTGCTCTCGGCACCTCCGGGGGGGGGGGGGGGCAGTTTTTGGATTCCTCTATCTGAAGACGTCGGATAGCGTCCTCCGATCCGCAGAGTAAGTGCAGGACTGACTGCATCAAGTTGCTTCCTTCCGAAAGCGCGCCGAGTTGTGTCCCGCACCAGTCCTGAAGATGCTCAGTGCGAGGAAAGTGTCCCTTACCCCTGGCTTTTGTTGGTGTTTCCGGGGACGGTGACAAAGATGACCTTACCTAAAGATCTTGGCAGGAATAGACGGCTTGTGAAGGGACGTATGAAGGAAGGTTGGGGCACTGCTGAGAGCAGAGCCAGGGGTTTGGGCGTCCCCAGCGCCCTTCGCAGCGCGCGCTTGCCCGACCCCCTTTCCGGGAACCGGCCTGGGGCGGGGAGTTGTGGTGTGGATGACTCCAGAGGCAGAGGAACCTGCTGCGGCGGCTCCTATCCCCTCCACCCCCCGCTAGTCGGGGGCGGGAAGTGGTGGGGTGGGAGTCACCGGAGCGTGATTGCCCGAGGCCCCTCCTGCCGCAGAGAGGGAACGCCATAAAAGCCCTGCTGCGACCCGCTCTAGACACCCCATCAGCCAGCTCTCACCCCGCGAAGAGGCCAGCCCGATTGTTGAGCACTCGCCGTCCGGCTACGCCCGTCCGCCCGCCAGCCGGCCACCGTGAGTACCACTATTGGCTCGGCCGGGACTGGAGCTTAGGGGGCGAGGGCAAACTTGCCTCGGGCGCCCACTCGCCCTCTACGAGCCCTGGAGTCCTGGGAGAGTTGCGCCCGGGTGCCCAGCTCTGCGCACCACGCTCTGCCCTCTCCGCGCCAGTCCGTCTAGGGGCTAACCTTCCCTCTGATGGTCCATCCTCTCTTCTCCTACGCCCTCCCGGCTGGGCGGTCCCCCTGGGTTACTTTTTGGTAAAAACAGAGGGAGAATACTGGACCCTCAAGCTGAGCTGCTGGCCGTCTGTTTTCTCGAGGGTCTCCGCCTGGAAGCCCAGAGGGCGGCGCGGGTTGGGAGGTTTCCTGGCAGTGCCCTGACTGAGGAATACCAGGCATTCGGGAGCCCATCACTTCCCCGGGCCCCCAGAATCCGAACTGCGCCCGGCGGTTCCAGCATTTCTCACCGTTCCACCCCCTTTCTCACATCTCCCCCAAATCCCTGCCTCCCTCACGGAGATCTCAGCCACCACTGTGGAGGATATCTCCTGCAGATAAAAGTAAGAGAGAAGAAAGTTTTCTTCTCCGACGGAGGTTTGGACTGGAGAGTAAGAAAATGAGTGCTCTTTAACTGGGCGGGAGGAAGAACTTCTCATTCTGTTTAAAGTGTTTAACTGGCGCGTAGAGCATCCCTCCCTACCCCCCAACCGCCCGCCACGAGGAGTTGTTTTCGGGCTGAGCAGCGGAGCCAGGTCAGGACAGATGATGCTCGGAGCCAGCAGCGTGGTGCTCACCATGCCAGGGGTTCTTTCTGTGAGGCTGGGTCAACTAGTCGCGGGTGGTAGCAGCAGGAGAGGAGGAAGGTGTGTGTGGGGGGGGGGGCGTGTGTCCCCTGAATCCTGAAGCCCTTCCGCCACGCCTTCTGTGCCCGCAGATGCTAGGTAGCAAGCGACTGGGGCTGTGCGGACTGACCCTTGCTCTGTCCCTGCTCGTGTGCCTGGGCGCGCTGATCGAGGCGTACCCCTCCAAGCCGGACAACCCCGGTGAGGACGCGCCGGCGGAGGACCTGGCCAGATACTACTCGGCGCTGCGGCACTACATCAACCTCATCACCCGGCAGAGGTGGGTGGGCTTGAAGGGTCCCGACCCGAAGCGTGCCCCGTCTGCACTACCGGGACTTCTGGGAGCCCTGTGACCTTTTCTTTTACCTCGCGGTATTTTAGGGCCAGGACAGTATGGGGCACATCATTATCTATCGCATGGTAGTGTTATGCGATATCACAGAATCGTGACCCACAGTTTCGTGCTCCCCAGTCTGTGTGACTGACCGTCTCCTCCCACTCACACCCTTGCCTATTTTGTTCTTACATCAGTACGCAGTTGTCTGGAAATCGGGATGGGAAAGTGCCCCAAGAAATGGGACAAGAGTGAGCCAGGGAAACACAAAAAGGAAGGGGTGGGGGTGACCAGGTGTCTAGAAACACCAAGTACCCAAACAAAGTAAGAGGAAACAGCGGAGCTGCCAAAGATCTGCCCAGAGCAACTGAACCAGAGTCTTAAGGAAAAGATCATGAGAGCGCTCTTGGTTTCCTTCTACCGAAGTGGTTTTTTGCAGTCTCAGGTCTTTGAAAATTCCAGTCCCGGGTATTAGAAATTTATTGTATAACCAGTGGATCTAAGATGCCGAGAAGTTCCTTATTTTATAGCGGGTGATTTCTAAAAAGACCAGGTTCACTTGGCATTTTATTACGGAGTAACTTAAATAGTTTTAGTAACTCTAGAATGAATCCAGAGTTTCCAAGGTATCCAAGAAATTGTAAAATTTTACTTTGAACCACCAGAAATGCAAAACCAAATACCATCTTTTCACTCAGCATTGAAAATTTAGCAAAAAGCCAAATATAAAGTATTATGTAGATAATATAGGGTTTGAAAAGGAGCTTTACGTAGCATAGTGAGTTATGAGTTGGGTTGCTAACGACAAGGCAGAAGTTGTGCTCCCATGAAGAGTTACAGCCTTGAAAACCCTACATACGGTTGCTATGCATTGCAACCGACTCCACAGCACACCACGGTCATAGGATTTAATACTGTTCTCAAAACTGGGTACCTCTTAAATATAAATCATTTAGCGCCTCGCTTTAATGACTGAAATCAAATGACCGTAATAAACTACAAGGTATAAGCCTTTCAAAGTATTGGTGTTCTTGGAGATGTTTAGAATTTGTGTTTTTTTTATACCATTGTTTTGCTGTTTACAAATCAGAGGCTAGTTGGGAAAGATTCAAAGGGGTTAGTTATTTATTTTATTTAAATAGTTTCTTTTTTCCTATTTCATCCCAAATAGTTTTTGAAAAAGCTTTGTATGTTTATATAGCTATCAGGAGTACACATGCAAATGCAGGAAATAAATAGTGTTGGTTTGCTATCTCTTAAAATCGAGTCATTTTAAATAGGGAAAAGCAATAATGTAGACTGTAACAGACTTCCCAGAAAGGTCCGGTGCTTCAAATGCTTCTTTATGCTGTTGTACAAATCAGAGAAAAGAACTTGTACAATAACAAGATCTTTCTTTTTATATCATTACTGTTTTTGTTTTTTTCTAGGAAAATCTCTTTTGTTGATATTTCAGTTATAATATGCATTGGCGGTGTGTGTTGTAGAGTTGGTTCCGACTCACAGTGACCCTGTATATCTGTAAATCTGTATGAGAGCAGAAAGCCTTGTCTTTCTCTCTAATGTGCAATAGTGCTTAATTTTGCAAATGTGGCTTCCATTTCTCATTGTATAAAGCTTTACCATTTCAAGTGTTTTGTAGACATTATCTCATTTAGTCTTTAACACAAAGCTTTGAGGTGAGTATAGTTATCTACATTTTATATATCATGAAACTAAGGGCATTCCAAGATGACTTGTTTTAAGTGTGTTGGAATTGGAGTCATCCTATTGCTTTTCCTTGACTATGGCATTACCATCAGCAGTGTGATCTCTCCAACATCCCTGTTGTGGTTGTTATTACATGCCATTGAGTCGGTTCCGACCCATAGCAACCCTGTTTAGGGTTTCTAAGGAGTAGCTGTTGAGCTTGAACAGCCGACCTTGCAGTTCAAAGCAACCTTGCAGTTCAGCACATTAACCCACAGCGCCACACCAGAACTCCTTTCAACACCCTTGACAAAGAATAATGAAGGGAAAGGCACTTGAGTTTCCTGGGAAGGGGAAATGCAGGCAGAATTTCCTATTTAGAGCACAACTGTTAAATTGGCTCCTTTGTTTCGTCCAAGAAGTTAGTTATGTGCTGATTTTGTTGTGTACAGCCCCATCAGAAAGTGAAGGACTGGCCTCAGGAATTTCTCACTTTATGTATTTCATAATGTCACACAAAACAGCAACTCCTCACTTAGTAGAGAGGGGGTTTCACTCTCATTTTCCTTATTAATTCCTTCTTTCAGCCAATGAGATGCTTGCTGTCCTTTCTCTCCTTTCTGTCACCACTGCCAGCCACTCGAATGGGTTTGGCGTACATCCTTGAATCTGTCTTTACCTTTGAAATTACTGTGTCAGGTTTTAAATCTTAGTATGTAAGATACCACTCCCTTTCTTCTTTTTCTCTACTTAATCCACTGTTTTCACCTGGATTTGTGGGGCCGGCTGTACCTCTGATTTTGTATCATATTTTGTTTAATATTCCTAAGGAACTCTGGTAGCGTAGTGGTTACGAATCGGGCTGCTAACCTCAGGGTCAGCAGTTCAAAACTACCAGCTGTTCCATGGGAGAAAGATGAGGCGTTCTTCTCCCGTAAAGATTTACAGCCTTGGAAATCTTGTACAGGGTCGCTGTGAGTTGGAACCAACTCCACGGCACACAACAACAACAACAACAACAACAACAACATAGAGACTAGGAGCTACAGAGCTGTATGTCGGGGTAGAACTGTGCTCCATAAGGTTTTCAATGACTGCTTCTTTGGAAGTAGATCACCGGACTTTTCTTGCAAGGTGCATCTGGATGGACTCAAATGGTTAACCTTTTGGTTAACAGCCTAGTTCGTATGTAACCATTTTCACCATCCTGGGACTCCAATGTTTCTCCACAGTCCTATAGGTCAAACAGGAGCAATTTTATCTCTTACCCTTCCTAAAGGGGAGGGCTTTTAACACTGGAGGCATTTTTGATTTTCACACTTAGGAGAGGGGTATTCTTGCTGGCAGCTAGTGGGTAGAGAGTACAGTCCTGGTGTGGCACTGTATCATCAGCACTGGACTGCTAACCACAAGGTTGACAGTTCAAACCTGCCAGCCACTCCTTGGAAACCCTAAACAGAGTCACTGTGAGTCAGAACTGATTCAACAGCACTTAACAACAATGAGGAGAAAGGGTTCCTGGTGTGGCGCTATATGATAAGCACTGGACTGCTAAACACAAGGTCTGCAATTCAAACCCAACAGCTGCTCCTCAGAAACTCTAGACACAGCTGCTGTGACTTAGAACTAATTTGATGGCACCTTGCAGTTCAAGTTCATCAGCTACTCCTTAGAAACCCTACACAGGGTGGCTATGGGTTGGAACCGACTTGATAGCGCTTAACCACAATAATGGATGCACAGGACAGTTGTCCACAACCAAGAATTATGTGGTGTAAAGTGTCAGTAGTGCCCAGGTTGAGAAACCCCATTCTGTTGTTAAGTGCTACTGACTCATAGCAATCCTGTTCTTGACTCACAGCAGGCCAGTTCTCCTAAGCACCACACCAGGGAAGCATGTTTGCAGCTAGAGAGCTTTTAAAATCTTGATTCATGGCTGGGCTCCACTCCTAACCAATCAAATCAGAATTGATGAGGGTGGGGCCTGGATTTTGGTGGGGTTTTTTTTGGGGTTTGATTTTTTTTTTTTTTTTTAACTCCTCAGGTGGTTCTAATGTACAGTCAGGTTTGAGAATCATTGTCCTTGAGACTCAATCTTTGACAATAAATTACAGAAGAGAAACAATAATCCAGAATTAGAGAAGGAAGACTAGTGAACGCTGTTCTGGATGCTACTTATTTTAGGAGTGAGTGAATTCTGCTGTAAATGATTTAGCCTTCTTGACTGGTTAACTGCAGAAAAGATCTGCCACTTCTTTTACTTATTGGGGCATGCTGAAGATATGAGTTAAGGTGCTCAAGAATTCTCAAATCGACTGGTGGATAGAATAAATAAGCATGTATAAGCAGTTGCTTATACTTTGATATCACCACTCCAGAAAATCTTTGAGGAACTCTTACAACTGATGGGGTGGCAACTGAGTTGGTTTTGTTTTTGTTTTCTGCGAGTCTCAGCAAAGGAGCAATGATAGCAAAACCGTTATAAAAAATTAGATTTATTTGTGTTGTTAGGCAACTAGAGAGAGCGCTGTCAGCTTTGTTTGGCTGTTTATCTATTAGTTGATCAATCCTTGCCTGGCTAATTTTTCATCTGTGCAAAAAGGCAGAGGGGGAAGGGCCTCTTCAAAAATTCATTTGGTATAGAAGAGTCAACATTAGCAACATGTGTGTGAGAGAGAGAAAGACTGAGACTAAGAAACCAGTTACTCGCTCCCCTGGAGCAGAGCAAGTATCATACTACCAAGGCAGCTAGACCCAACCTTGCATTCATGTATTGTTCTATCCATTTCTAGCCGTATCCTGCTATAGGAGAGAAAAGACAAACCACAGCCCATGGGTCAGTAAGATTCTTGTACACTTACAGGGCAGCTTCAACTTGGAGATAGTATTAAAAAGCACTTTTTGTTTGTTTTGGGGGGGGGGTGCTTTCAACTAAAAATGGAGTCTATAGTACCCAGAATCTCTAAGATCCTGTAAGAGTGAGTATATTTCTGTAGCAGTAGGTTACACTTGTGGATCATGTTGTCACTTTCAAAGCACAGGACACACATTTCTCATTGGATCGCCCAAAAAAACTCTGATTTAAGCAGGAATTAATATTTTGGTGTGTATATATATATATATATATATAATCTGAGATTTAGAGACACAGGTAAGTCTGGATCATCGGTCTGTTGATTTCTTTTGCAGTGTATGTGGACTCTTCATTAAGCTGCTCTGCTTAATCAGAACTAGATCTAATTTACTAATACACGCATGGAGTCCTGGTGTGGTGCTGTAGGATCAGCACTGGACTGCTAACCATAAGGTTGGTGGTTCAAACCCACCAGCCGCTCCTTGGAAACCATACAGAATTGATAGGAGTCAGAACTGACTCAATGGCACTTGACAACAACAATATTGTGGGCTATGTTTCAGACTACCTCAATAAAGCAGTTGTCATAACAAAATATATCAGGCAATTATCTCTGGTCTCCCAGTGCATATGAAAGTCAGTGTTGCTACTGTATAGCAGTCTGTTATGTGGGCAATACCATTATGAAAAGGTTTGAAATATTGTGAGAGTTTCCAAATGTGACACAGACCTGAAGTGAGCTCGTGTAGTTGGAATAGACTTGATCCACTTCAGCATCTGTGCAAGGTGCAATAAAATGAGGTATGTCTGTACTAGAAATTTAAAAAACTATAATCTGATGCCTGTTTCTTCCCTGCCACTTTGTTATAAAATTACATCTATAAGTGTTTTTTCAATAGTGTTTGAGTCATATATCTAGAAGATTACTTATTAGCAGATGATCTACTGAAAATAATTTTTAGTTTTAAAATAATTCAAATGGGAAACTCTCTTTTTTCTATAGGTTTTTATCAGTATTCCATACTTGATTTAAAATACTTTTTTTTTTTTTTAAGATATGGAAAACGATCTAGCCCGGAGACACTGATTTCAGATCTTTTGATGAGAGAGAACACAGAAAACGTTCCCAGAACTAGGTAAGGAAAGGCTTGGGCTGCAGCCATCTTACACAGCCTGGGGTGCTACGTGAAGAGACATTGGAGAGAACTTCATGGTGGGGAGACATTAGAAGGGAGTCTCAAGACCCCACGACACTACCAGAGCTCCTTAGGGAGGATTTAGGCAGGTAGAAATGGGGTGGGTGTGGGAGGACCTTTTTATAAACTCACTGGGGATTCTCAAAACGTCTGTGGGGAAATATTTTCAAGCCCAAATTTTTAGGTGCTTTTATTAAAATGTTAAATTTGAGAACTCTTGCCTCAGAAAGAATTCTTTGTAGCCTTTTGAACGTTGTTAGAATTGGGGGAAGCCCCTAACTCTAAGATGAAATGACAATTGTCTAGCTTTATTTAGCTGGAATCTTTTTTTATACTCTATGCTGAATGTCTAGATACCCTAGGAAGTATACCTGATAGTTCTTACTCCAGTCTCCATGGCTTTACCAAAAGCTGCATTTCCATGGAGTTCCCTTGTTTACATTTTGACTTAATATTTTAGCTCAATTAATATCACATAGAATTTTATTGCAGTCAACAAACGCTTGTTGATGGAATATTATTCTTAGGAGCTTCTCTGTAGCTTTGAGACATTTTTCAAAGCATGGAGCTGTCTTAGGTAAAGGTACCCACCAATATCTTAAGTGTCACATGTTGTGCTAGGAATTTCTGGTGTCTCCTGAATACGAAGTACAGCTAAAAAGGACTGTGGTCCTGTTCAATTTTCATAAGCCCCCTGGGTCTTCTGCCCTCCAGCCTTATCTTCCTTAGTAAATAAGGTCACACTGCACACGGTCTGTCTGCTTCTGTGGTAGTTTGTCTTTGCCTCAGAGTTCTACAATATTAAAAACCAAGTTCCCCAGAAGGGGTCGCTAGAACACTTGTTCAGTGACTGTGACTTGAGTTGTCAGGCTTTATTGGGGTCTTCCCTAGAGAATCCTAGGACCTGCTGAGTCACCACCTTCCCTCCCTCCCATGTGAAATGGTCAGATTGGCTGAAGGATGCAATGTAGCATTCTTGGATTTGCTTTCTCTGAGGGAAACTATGAACTATAACTGGAATCAAACGCTCCCTGTAGATATTAGCAACTGCTCACAGATTCTTGAAATTCAACAAAGTACAAGGGAAGCAGGTGGAAAACTCATGTTTTTAAATACTAACATGATAAATGCCTTTTCATGTTTGATTGATATCATATTTACCATAGTAAACAGTCTAGAATTACCTGTATCTAAATACTCAAGGTTAGGAAAATAGTTCAGACCTGCTTCGAAACTTGCTGGTCTTTGTGTTATGTCTTTCAGTCACATGACTAGTTCATGAAATGAAGTTAATTGCACTTGGATTGACAGCTCCACCACAAGCAGTTAAAAGGAGACAAAATGTGACAACCTTGAAGTTGCTTGTGAATGCTATTTCATTTAAAAGGGTTCTTTATAGTCTAATAAATAGCATCGTAATACATAAAAGACTTACAGGAAAACAAGGGCACATATTCAAAGAGTGGAGTAACAATAACTTTCTTGTTAGTTTTTTGTGATTTCTGTTGTTCTGATCTTCAGACTTGTGTGGTACATACAAAGCCTTTTATATGCTCCCTCTGAGATTTGCCTGAGACTCGTTTATATAGTGAAAGCTACTCAGTGGGGCTTTGCACACTATACCACTGTCTCACATCCTGATATTCTACTGGCCTCCTCTTTGAAATGCCAACAGGAGCTTTTCCCTTTGTTTCTGATCATCTTTCAGTTCAAAACTGAATGTCTCACTCACACAAGCCTCCCAGGAAGTTGGGGAAGCTTCTCGTACATGCTTTATTTCTTATGTTTTACAGGCTTGAAGATCCTTCTCTGTGGTGATGGGAAGTGAAACTTGCTCTCCAGTCTTTTCCTACTTTTCACCCTATATTTCATACTGTGAAACCAGAGTCTGCCCATCCTTACAATGCATGCAGCCACTGTGCTGAGCCCATCAGTATTTTCCCTTGTCAACATTGTATATATGTGTGTTTAAATAAACTATCATGCAAAACTGAGTCCTCTTCAGTGGAAAATCTGTCATTGCAATAAAGAAAAACATTAGAAGTTATTCATTCAATTATAGTCACCATCCCCATGTTCAGTAGTACTGTATCCCATGTAGTAGTAATTTCACCAATATTAAGACAGTGGCTATGAAAGGTAGGACCAAATACTTGCTCTCTCTCTCTCTCTCTCTCTCTCTCTCTGTGTGTGTATGTAAGATACAGAAGTATTTAGAAACAAAGCAAGGGAATGCTAACTTGGGAAAAGTTTTCTGACCTCTTTTCCCCTTCACATGGAATCCTTGTTAACATCATTGACCTATGTAACCAACAGAAGAAATTGCTATCTACTCAGTGTCAGTTTACCTAAATAGCAAGCTAAGCATGGGATGATTTGAGGTTATTTACTAATCTGTGGTGAATAATTCCTCCCCCTCCCCCATTTTTTTTTTTTTTTTAACATATCACAGATTCAGTTTCTAGGTATAGTTGGCATCTCTCTCTCTCTCTCTCTCTCTCTCTCTCTCTCAGTTCCACAACATGTTCTTACAGAATCAAAACCTCTTTTCCTGACAGTGGCAGAATACCCAGGAAGTAACACAACACAGGCTTCCTGTGGTTAAGTGCTGTCAAGTCGGTTCTGACCCATAGCTACCCTGTATAAGGTTTTCAAGGAATGGCTGGTGAGCTTGAACCAGTGACCTTGCAGTTCAAACCGACTTCGCAGTCCAGCACATTAATCCACAGTGCCACACCAGGACTCCATGCTAATTGAATAATCTGTATGATTATTCAATATTTTTCTTATGGTTCTCACCACTGTTTTTACCATATATTCACAAAATTAAATTGGTCACTGTTGTTAAGTGTCGTTGAGTCGATTCCGACCCATAGCGACCCTGTATAGGGTTTCCAAGGAGCAGCTGGTGAGCTTGAACCACCAACCTTGCAGTTCAAACGACTTTGCAGTCTGACGCATTAACCCACATAAGTAAGCACATGCTTACCTTGCTTACCCCCTTTCCCCAACAGAACTTTAATCAAGTCACACGTGGCTTTTGAGCATGTTTAAAGTGGCTTAGAGAAAATATTCAACTTGAGTTTTGTATTTAATTTCATTTCAACTAATTTAGATACAAATAACCACACTTGGCTAGTGGCTGTGGTATCTAGCAGCACATCTGTTTAGTTTACTACTCTTAGAATTTAAATCATAAAAAGAAAAGACACTGAGAAGGATGATTAGCTTTTTACACAACATGGAGCATGGTAATTTAGCTAAAGGTTACTAAATTTCTCTATCCTTCAAGTACCTATTTGCATATATTTCATTTAAAATTTATAGATTCTTACATGTAATTTCTAAATCAAAGTGGGTATCATCCCATACTGGTATTTTGTACCACATTGCAAAAAACATGTACAAACATTTTTATATGATTTCTTAACACTGCTCACAAAAAAAGCCATAAATACAATGCACATCATGGCTTAGGGAATGTTATCGTATACAAAACTGACTTCGTATGAAAGAAGTTCTAATGTACCATACCATCCTGTGTTGTCTGATTTCAGAAGCTAAGCAGGGAGAGCCTGGGATAACCGTGGGTCTGCTAACCTCAAGGTCAATGGTTCAAACCCACCAATCACTCCTCAGAAATTTATACAGAGTTGTTATGAGTTGGAACTGACTCGACCTCAATTAAATAGCAACAACAATGTATCTTTAGCCAATGATGTCAATAATGCTATAAAATATGATTTGTAAATGATACTCATATAAATCTGTGAGGCCATTTATCTAAAATAGGGTTTTGAACCTAGTTCAATCACACCAAACTTGTAAAATGTGGGCATGCCAGACTGATAACCAGGATGGGAAAAATTATAGGTTCTTCTCTTTGAAAACCTACAGGTTTTAGGGAAAACATAGAAAAATTGATGCATTTGAATTAATGGTGTTTTAGAAGAAGTACCATGGACTACCCAAATAACAAACAAATCTGTGTTGGAAGAAGTATATCCAGAAAGCTCCTTAGAAGTGGGATGGCGAGAGTTTGAGTCTCATACTTCAGACATGTTAACAGGAGGGACCAGTCCCTGGGAAAGGACTTCAAGTTTGGTGAAGTGGAGGGTCAGTGAAAAATAGGAAGACTGCCTATGAGATGGATTGGCACAGTGACAGCAGTAATAGACTCAAGTGTAACAATAAATGGTGCAGGACTGGGCAGTGTTTCGTTCTGTTGTGTATAGGGTTGCTATGAGTCAGAACCATAGCAACCACACTCTATGGCACCTATCAACAACAACTTGTAGAAAACAGGGGCAGCAGAAGTACTGCATAGCAACCAAATCAGTCCTGACAATAATCCCATCTCTCACATCATGCTCCTTCCTGAAAGGGCTCCCTATGCTTCATCCGAGTCTCCTGTTCAGGACTTTGATCTTTAGTTTCTCCCATTCTGGTTAACATGTTGGAACACCCACATTGCACAATCTGTATTTGTCCCGATTTCAGTGTGTCAGCCATGACTGAATCAGTTCAGACCTGTTTGAAGCCCTAGTCAGAATTTCCTTTTTCTGTTTCTTTGTACTTTGAACAAGCACTTACATGAAAAATGTTTTTGATATCTTCAAAACTTGACTAAGTGACAATTTTCTATCATACAACATCAGAGATCTTTATTAACCTGGTACATTTGAGATTTGTCCTGGTAAAATAATATTAGGGCAAGAAAGTTGCCTTATGATCCATTTGTAGCATTATTAAGTGCCGTCGAGTCAGTTCTGATTCATAGCAACTCTGTATAGAATTCCCAAGGGGCAGCTGGTGGGTTTGAATTGTCAATCTTATGGTTAGTACTCTAATGCAGATCCTCAGTGCCACAACAGGACTCCTTTGGTATCACAGACAGGCTAAATGTTTATTAGTGTATACATAACTCTTGGTTATACGGAGTAGAGTAAGTAGGAATAGTGTATATGAACGTTGACAGATAATCCTGGAATTTCATTTTAAACAAAAAATTTAAACCTCTTACCTCATTAAAAGGAGCTCTGTTGGCACTCTGGGTTAAGCATTGGACTGCTAACCAAAAGATCAGCTGTTCAAACCCACCCACTAGTACATGGGAGAAAATTGAAGCAGTCTGATTGCTACAGTGAAAACCCTATGGGGCAATTCTGCTTTGTCCTAGAAGGTCGCTATGAGTAGGAATTAACTCAGTAACAGTGGTTGGGGGGTGTTGTTGTTAAGTGCCATTGAGTCAGTTCCAACTCAGAGCAACCCTTTATAGGGTGCCCAACGAGTGACTGGTGAGTTTGAACCACTGACCTTACAGTTGGCATTCCAGTGCTTATCCTACAGTGCCGCATCAGGATTCCAGGATAGGGGTTAACCTCACTAAATCTTAAGGCCTAAAAACTCAACATTAAATGCCCTGTAGGCCAGTTTGATTCATACTCCAGGCCTGGAGCTCTCTCTTCTTTCAATTCCATTTACTAGAAGGAGGACTGGGCTTGCATACCTCAGAGCCCTAGGATTTTGATGCAGTGACTTCCAAGTTCTCTGGTCTTCAAATTCTCCAAACTTCTGAGTTCTCACCCAAAAAAAAAATATTGAAAATTCCTGTCCTGCTTTCCCTGCAAATCTATGTTGTTGTTTCAGTAACGACTCTACTCATAGCGACTCTGTATAGGATTTCTGAGGAGACACTGGTAAGTTTGAACCGTTGACCTTGCAGATCAAACCAACCTTGACATCCAGTGCATTATCCTACAGTATTACACAAATACTTTTCCTACAGAGATCAAAATTCAAGTGAAGGTAATGTTGTTAAGTGCCTTCGAGTTGGCTCTGACTCTTAGCAAGAACCCTCTATAGGGTTTCTAAGGAGTAGCTGGTAGGTTTGAACTGCCAGTCTTATGGTTTATAGTCCAGTGAATTAATAATAAAAGGGCAGTAGGTAAGAATGTAGTTTTTGATGATTTATGAGTTAGATTATGCTGTAACAAAACATCATAAAGTGTAGGTGGCTTACAATGACTAAAATATGTCGTCTCTCAGTTCTGGAGGCTAGAAATTTGAAATCAGGGTGTTGTTGTATGAGGGAATTTAAGATAATGGAATTTTTCTATGAACTTTTTATAATCCTCATATTACTTCCTTCTGAAGGCTCTAAGGAGAATGCTTCTTCCTAGCTTGGGATGATAGCAGCAATCCTTGGCATTCCTTTGCTTGTAGCCACATCACTCCAATCACTGTCATAGGCATCACATGGCACTCTTCCCTGTGAGTGTGTCTGTGTCTCTTCACCTCTTTGATTGGTGTTGAATTACCTACTTTAATATGACTTCATGTTATATTAACTGGTAGTAACTTCAACGACACTATTTCCAAATAAGATCCCATTCACAGGCATGTGGGACACAATTCAGCGCATAGAGAATAATACATTCTTAAAAAATAAGTACAGTTGTTGCACTGTAGGATCAACACTGAATGGCTAACCGCAAGGTTTGCAGTCCAAGCCCACCAACAGCTCCTCAGAAACCCTATACAGGGTCACTATGGATCAGAACTAACTCTACAGCAACTTAACAACAGCAACAATAAATAAACAAAAATTAGATTTAAGATGCAAATGCTGTTGAATGATGATGCATGGAGGGGATTGTAATCGTTGCAATGAAATGCAATACGATAGGATGAATGTAAAGCTGATGTTCTCCCATGTAAACTATCATGCAATTCACAATACAAACTTGAAAAAAAAAGAAATAGGGTGGTAAGCTTACCCAAAAAAAGCAAAACTGTATTTCAAGAGGTACTCTGTATCAGTATTTCCCACACATTTGCAGCCTATTCTTTTTCCTTTGGAACAGATTTAAAGGCATAAGATCACCCACTTCCCACTGTAAAACAACAATCCTCACTAAAGCTAAGGTAGGGGTCCTGTTATGGCACTGGACCGCAATGTCGGTTTGAACTACAAAGTCAGCAGTTCAAACCC